GATAACAAAGAGAGATGTTATTTTACGTCCATAATCGAAAATACCACGAATGGAAACAATTCTTTTTTTCTAGAACTGAATTCTGTAAATAACAAAAATAGGAGTTTTTGTTCTAATAGAAGGTATATGCGCTAGTCATTACGCCACAAAATCCCAAGGGGTGACACCAAAGCAATATACTCATTTGCATCCGTATTAAAATATTGTACAAATAGAAACAAAATAGTTATTGGTTGCAACCCTGTAAATATCCATCCAATAAGTAACAATAGCAGATGTTATTTGTTGTTTCTTAATATTCTAGATTTTGTTCACAGTGTTAACGCAGGTCCTCTTACTCTCTAATGCATTCTGCCCCATAATAAAGGCGTCAGAAAAGACAAAACAATTGTTTTTTTAACTGTTTCTGCACACTTCGCAGCTAGAATTTTTACGTCTTTTGAACATTAATGTTCAAGCAATTCAGGGGGTTCCAAACCGTGAATATCCTTTGTGTGTTCAAGTTCTGCTAATGACGGATTTTTGACATTAGCTGGTCATTACTAGGAGTACACGAGTTGGGTGATGGTTCCACCTAGACGATAATTTTACAAGTGAGCCGCTCTAATCTGTCGCTTCCGCAGTTTCATTCGATCAGTCGCAGGCGGATGTCGCAGCAGAACGGGGCACGGGGCACGGGCCACGCGAGTCGACTCTTTTGCAATTCTGTCCATCCCCATCCTTTTTTGTGGGATTGGAAAATATTTCGTGAGATCTCGAAGAATCTCTGTGAGAACGCGAAAGACAGTCCGGAAACCGACTTTAGCCGTGGTGTCATCTGAGAAAAAGCTCCTTCGCTCATTGATTGGTGATTCCTGCTAAGGTCATTGGTCTCGTAAGTGTAGTGCATACTTTTAACCGGGAGGTGGCAGTAATTTTCTTCCCCGACTGCCGAGATTCGGCGCCGACCCACGTCGGCTCAAAGAGACTTTCCCCAACAAGGTATCTCCCACCCGAACGGCACCGCCCCAGCCAGGACTAGCTCTTCGCTCCCGAGAGATCTCCCAACTAATGTAGTGTAATGCATGGAGTGTACGTAAGGGGAGGGGAAGGACAAGAAAGTGGAAGGAAAGACCTGTGGCTCGTTTGTTACGGTACTGCTCCGGCATTCGCCTGGTGTTGATCAGGGAAACCACGGAAAAATACCGATCAGAGCAGCTGGCCACTAGAATTCTCCGGATAGCGAATAAATTCAATTTAGCTGTCTAGCCAGCATCGGGCATCGCCAGCATTGTCGAAAATCCTGCCAGCATCGGGTTTGAATCATAGGACCTCCCGATCAGTGACATCAATTGAATCCCTGAGCCATCTAATCCGGTCTCTTTCATTCAGACACATGATAAAAATGTCTCACTACTCACTTACCTCAGACTTATTCGAAATTGTCTCAGAGTCAGATGTCACGATACGGTAAGTCAAGTGTGATTTCCTATTTATAGTGAAAACGTACGAGTGCTCCGCACTCCGTGGTGGCAACAAGTTACACTGAGAAAGGTACGCGAGATTTGCGCTAAGAACAACTTCTCGTTCGAGGAACTACTTCATCGCACCCGAGCACTGGCTCTGGGATGACGAGCCCTGCGTTGTGACTGCGCGACTGTGAATTTCGTGCGCTTGGCTTTTAAAGTGTCGCGTTCTATTTTTCGCATATATTTGAATGCGAAATGCGAATTTAAATGCGGCAATGAAATTTCAGCATGTCTGGGTGGACAATTAGTCATGTCACAAGGCAATGTTTCGTACGCCTCTGACTCTTCATGGATCCAACATTATCTTTCTTTGATAATTTCAAAATGACCGATTCCCAACTTTTTTTAACAAATGGAGTCATCATGGATAAAAAATTCCCCGCGGTTTTAAAGACCATATTGAAATATACTATATAATTAAGTCTTTAATTCCATTGCATCAATGGAAGGGCATCAGGCGAATTGGCGTTGGTATGCTCAAGACCTTTCCTAACCTTTAGTGCACAACCTAGTCGATGTATCACCAAACCTGAACAATTCTGCTTCACGTTAATTCAAAGTGTGATAGAGGTGATGCTTTTGGAATCTTATACGATGCCGTTGTTATTTGCAAATAGCAAATGCAGAAGAAAATCAATGTAATACTTGTAAAGAATAATAATTAATAATTAATGAAAGTTCTCAAACATATTTTAGTCGAAATAAACATGCGAATATTATTACTACTACATTTCATTTCTTCGACGAATTGAATAATTGAAATGTCTAATCGTCGAGGACTTATAACGAAGCCTAACATTGTTTTCATTTTGTGAACTTCCACGAAATTAATGTTATTTTGGTTGACAATGCACGCAAATGTCAACAAAACGCAAAATAAACGTAAATGAAACCAATCGTAAACGCTCAAATGGTTCGTAAGCGCACTCCCACTCGAACCCGACAGCCCCGGTCTCTTTAAAGCAGGACACAGTCAACGTCGGGTGACGATTGGGCCGAATTGTACTATTGACATAATCAAACTAATAAAACAGGTTTATTATATACATTATCAAACAAAATATGATGCTATTTGAGAGTCTCTTCCTGGAGAAAAATGGTTTTGTTTGATTTCTGACTCCGAATTTGGGCGAAGCATCTGCATCCGACTCATTTTATCCGGAGAGCCATCATTATTAGGAGAGACAGTATTTGACAATTCACTTCGAAATTATCTTAATTTTCGTTAAAATCAAGTAATTAATTTGCTTTTTTTTCTTGTTTTATGAAACCTATTTGCACAAGAGAGGAGCGATGAAAGAACACGTGCGAGTTTGGTATTGAAGACAACTTAAAATATTACTTTCGTAATCAATAATGTATTTCTTTTGCTTCTTTTTTGAAAACATTTAGAGAGATTTTAGTCTTTGCATGCATGTTGGATTTGCAAACATTCAGCTTTTCTGTAGCTGAGTTTGAAATATTGCGAAAACACTAGCTTATATTTCGGAAAAGAAATAGCCTTTGAGTTTAAAGCAGCAGACTTTAAGCCTCGTGATAACTACAGTTTTTGGAAACACAAGCACATAGTGCAATCGGTAACAGAAAGAGGCTGTGACTCAACTTATTTTGAACTCATTCGATTTTTTATAAAAGGCAAACACAATAATGAAGTTAAGTGTTGATGATAAGCAGTTTGTAAACGGATCATCATGAAGGTTTTTAGCAGCACAGATATTTTAGTAATTCAGACAAAAATAACTTATGAAACTGCTTTTTCTGCCAATAATGTGTTACATAAAATTCACAATTTTTTACCGGATTTGCAGGGTTCTGATGTTCGTTTGCTTTCTAAACTGAAAATGAATTTTAGGTCAAGAACCCCTGCTTTTCTATTTGAGACGAATTGGAAACACTTAAGGTAAACATGAAACATGAGATGCATATCCAATGCAATCACGAAACAAATGCAAAAACGTCAAGCAACAACTGATGTTTTATCTCTTGATGCTCTTTAGTCATTCCAAAACGTTTACGCATAAAGCTCTAAATTTATTCGTGTGCACGAATCGTGTGCAGGTAATCCTACAAATATTCGATCAAATAAAGTATGCACGACCACGATCTCTAGTGATTTTGTGTCGTGCAGTAGTGCAAGAGCATGCTGAAACCGGATCTGTCAAGTCCGCTTGCAGTCAGTTAAACGTAATAAGTAGACGGGATGGCTGTTGTGTGCCACGTGCTTGCTAGTTGAGGTATTAAAAGAAAGCATGTTAGCTACAAAATACATGCTAGCGCTGCATATATCTTATTCATTACTGAATTCTCCTTTTGAACTCAATAAATTTAACTTTTAATTCAGTAAAAGGTTGGACGGATGTGCTTAAACATTCTTAAAATATATTTCCAAAAGAAGAGCAGCAAGAGATTGTACATTCTTTAAAATAAAGGTCACGGAAGTCCTTTAGAGGACATTCAAAAACAGAATTTAGAAGGTAATGTACTAAACAATTACCTCCAATACTTCGTTCATTGAATTCAACAAATGAAATTTAGAAGAACAAAATAAGTCAAGAGAGATGTCGAAATACAAAAACTCGAAAAAGGTCAAAAAGTGCAAGAAACTACACACTAGATAGTTCAGAAGAAGTGGAGGCGACGAAGCAGAGTTGCCAAGTCCATGTCCGTTACTTACGGCCATCGACGTCACGGCGCTAGATGTCCGGCCTTGCTGAGCGAATTCCGTGGGACTAGAGCGGAGCAGGTGCTCGGGCAGGCACGTCTCCTCACTTCATCGCCTTCATTTCTTTTCCGAACCGTCCATCTATAAAGGACACTCAACGGGGTGTTAGACATATTCACTAGACAAGCGACATCGTCTTCCGAATGGGGCAACAAACACTGGGAAACGCGACCGTGGACACAACAGCCGTCGACCCATCGACTTTCTCGGCGAGCTTCGGGTCCTCCGGCGACCTTCGACTCGCGGCGGTTGAAGATGGCCTATTAGTCGTCTACTTTCGAGAGGGTCACGTCCGTCGGGTGATCCGACGACTTCTGCGTGACTCAAGGACGTCGTCTGGTCATCCTTGAGCGCATGCGGTCGGAAGACGTCTGACTATCAAGGACGCGTCACTATATGCTGATAATGTCCGGGCGAATGTCCGTCTGGTGACTCATAGGCACCTGCGTGTTTTCACATCGCCGTCGGGCGGCCCTTCCACACAAGAGGACGGTTGTCAAGGTCGTCTGACGATCCGATGTAACGTCCTTGATTATGTTGCTTTAAGGTCGCCTGACAACTCGTCTTCTGCGTGTTTCAAGGCCGTCGTCGGGCCACCTCACGACACGCAAGGTTGCGTTTCAAGGTCACCCGACGCCACGCAGCTAGTGTCCGCGAGAACGTATCGGCTGCTTCCACGCCGTGGGGTGACCCGTCAACTTGTGCGTGTTTCCAGGTCCGTGTCAGGCGGCGACCCTTCCACACGCGTGGACGCGTTACGAGACGAGTCGTCAGACGACACGCTGCCGCCGTCCACGAGCGTGGTCAGTGAGCTTCCATGTCGTCGGGCGGCGCAGTTTCGAAGTTGGCGCGCGGCTGCGTGGGCGGGCGGGGGGGGCCCGCTCCACACACGGGTCGCGAGTGGCGGTGCGGCTGAGCGGAGCGGGCGTGACGGAGCGCGGAGTGGAGCGCGGGGAGCTCGGGGAGCGGGAGGCGTGGCGCGGGGAGCGGGGCTGTGCGCGTTGGAGCGGTGCGACGGCTGGCGGGCCGCGCGGTGGCTGCGTCACGGGCGGCGAGTTACCCAGCGAGTAGGCGCGCTCGTCGAAGTAGGGCTCGTCGTCGTCGTCGCCGCGGCCGTCGGGCGTCGCCAGGTCGTCCGAGTAGGCGCCGCGCGAGTGCGCGTACGCGATGCTCTTCTGGTAGCTGAACAGTTGCCGCTCCAGGCTGTAGTTCTCCGCCTGCAGCGCGCCGATCTCCCGCCTGCACCAAACGAACCAGAAAAAGGCGTTTACTTGTAAATAATACAAACGACATTTACCTATACGAAATTATTCACTAAAATTGTTTAAACAGTAAAAATTACCTATTCACTTATGATGCGCGAAGAAACAAGTGTACTTATCTGGGATATTCAAAAGCACACATGATACTGATAATTACTTGAATGAAGATAAATACTGAAATATATTATTCAAAAGAGAAAAGTAATCTGACTTTCTGTTGTACTGTTCATTACGATACGGAAATTAATTTTATTATTACCTTCAGTTTTATTTTGATTCATACGGCTGGAATGAATCTAAGAATTATTAGTTAAATAACTACTTCACGAAGTCCCAATTCCATATTTTAAGATTTGCCACAACGCCAACGTCTTGAGCATCTTGGATTAAAAATTATCATTTTAAAATAATGAACGTTTGACTCGTACACCATTGAAAGCTCCACTTAATGACGAACAAGAATGTATAATATATTCGTGCAAAAGCTTGATTGCTGCAAAGGGCAAATGCACGTTTCATTCATTAGCATTTTTCTCCAAAAATTGTAGTGACACATATTTGGGAGCGTCAATTGATATGCTGATTAGGTCCATAAGTATAGTGCATGTTAAATGCTGGGAGGGGGCGTTTTAAATTCGCGCATGTGACGTCTACAAGTTTGTTCCCCAGTATGGGAATTGTTAATTTGTTCCATTTAATTACACTAGGGGCAAAAAAAGAATTTCATACCTCCAGGATAAAAGTAGATGATTTTAAAGGGAACAATCTTGCTGAATTTGCAAATCAGTATAAAAAGTTTGTATAACGCTAGGTTCAAAAGATATAAACATATTTATTATTTAAAATAAACAAAATCTCACCTACTAATTTCCACTTGTCAGTCCGGTTATATTACCTCAAAATTTTATGAGCATGCTTCATATAAGGTAAGAATACCTTTAAAATGGAATACGCATATTCGTGCAATAATATTCAGACATTAAAATGGTTTCTTGGTATTCTCCACCACATTGGTAGAGCGACTGACAATGGTTTGAGTTTTCCCTTCAACCACAACCTAAGGTTCGTGGTACAGGTGAGCAATACATAATAAAGCATACAATACCGGTGAGCAGATCATGGTTTGTCCTGATCACAAATACGACAGCCAAAGTATAAAGAATACGCGAGTTTTGTAATTTCACATTTTTCCCTTTGACGTTTGAGTGTAAAACTTCCACAAACCTAATAGAAGTAATAGAGTTGATTCGCACATTTTCGATGTGAAATGACGATTTGCATTTTATTGATTCGATTCAATTCTACATGTCATGTGGAAAATTTCACTTTAAAACCACAGAATAAAAAATAACAGCCACTAAAACCCACAAAACTGTATTCTACTATTAACTTTAATGTATTTGAGGCACCCGCAAACCAGACACGAACTTCATGTGCACTGCGGGTACAGTTCCGCATGACACCAACTCACAGAATCTGCCAACCCATCAGTGGTATACTTGCGATAATGTAAGGGGATAAAATAATTCCTGTCGATGACATGCCCAGTAGGAAATATTAGAGTACACGTGACTTGTTTTCGAAACATCCACTAAGACCTACTCGTAATTGAACGCTACTACCAGACGTGAGAATAAACACGGCAATCTTCGAATACAGAAGGCAAAAAAAAAAAAAAAAAAAATTAACTACGACAGCCTAATTAGTTGATATCTATTGAAAGTGGTATAGATGAACTAAACAAATATTTTACTTTTAAATATATTTTATGTGTATTGATTCTACATATTTTACACGTGCAATTTAAATGCATTTGCATTGATAGACCATGAGGTATTATACTTGTATAGTGTAAAGATACGGTATATTTAAACTCTATGTCGTTTTATTGTTATATTCTTACTCTACTTATAAAATTGAGTATTTTTGAGATATGTACTATGAATATATGCGCATATATGTACTCTACTTTTTCTGGAGGTAAAAATGTTGTTCCCTAGTGTTTTTATTCATTTGCAAAATTACATTCGAAAACGCCACATACTTGGTGGCTTGAATACAGTTTGAGCACTAGTTTTCCAGTCACAAATTGAGCATTCACTTTCTAGCTTCCTTCCATTGCCGTAGTTGCACGCATTCCGCGAAAACGTTTCAAACTTTAACAACCTGCAAAACACTCCATCTAACTTGTCGAATTTAGGAAATTAACGTGAAACTATTTAGGGATTTCAGAGTCGCCATCTGGAAATAAATAAATACATCGAATTCTAGACTTAACTCACCGGAAAAATACGTCGAGTTTTGGAAATTACTTGAACTTTACATTGTTATTTCTCTAGGAAATAATGAGATTTGGAACATTTGAAAAGTGCAATTTACACTTCAAAACATGAAAAAACTGACATCTTCATTTTGATAAAAATGTAAAATGAAGGTTTTTTCGAAAACAGCATTAGTCCAAAATTGAGAACATGGAGTTAATGATTCCACCTTGTAGTGTGAGCTTTTATAAAACAGAGGATAATATCAACTAGGCCTAAAGTGCAATCGTTCCTTAGAAAACGAGCGAAGAAAAAATAGGGGAGCTAGGAAGGTGACTTTGGAAGGTGGACGGTTTCTACTCTTTTCCCACAAATTGGATTTTTGGACTAATGCTTTTTTTCCGACAAGCCCTTCAAATGCATTTTGGAAATATACTCCACAAATGATAAAAAACATCGAAAGGTAAACTCGTTTTGTTTTGGACTTATGTTATTATATTTCTCCACAGCGATTGGGTCTTAAGAATTTATCATCAAATACATAAGTGTTAATGAGCTTGTAAACTGTGACAATACTCAAAGTTTACTTACATTATAGATTGAGAAAGATGTGACATTTCTGATCAGTTTGAAACAAAGATCTGTTGTGCGTTACCTAATCCAAGTTAATTACAAGAAGGGGGGGGGGTGGAGTTGGATTCATCTTTGAGAAGACCTTCTACTTAACTCGATAACTTCCTCTGAGTGTCTTACCTCATTTGGTAGTTGTGAATTCTGCACACGTCGTCGTACTTGTGGTAGGTGGCCTGGAAAAGCAGGAAACACTCTCCCCACTCTACTTGAACGCGCAGCTGCCCCTTATCGGTGACGTATGGACAGCCAGGCTCCCGCATCTGAAACAGATCGAACGCAGTGTTTGCTCATTTAAAACACTGACATACATTTTCCTGGCAGAAATATGCTTTTTAATTTCAATGGGGAAGTAAACCAAAGTAATGAAGGAAACAGTGTCAGCTGATTGTAGTTAAAAAACGCATTTTTGTCTAACAATTTAAGTATTGTTTTGAAGAATGCACGCTTCGTGATAAAAAAGAGTAAAAGCATCTGGAAAAGTGAAGGAATGAAATATTATGTTTGTGGAGATGCTAAATGTCTTTTATGTCATTCATTTTTTGTAGTATTTTTACTGACCATTGTCATTTTTCTTGATTTCTATCCATAGATAAAGTTATAAAGGCGTGTGAAAATTCAGGGTGAGTTTGAAAACCCCAAAAAGATTAAGAGATCTTCGCTCCTCGAAGTTAAAAAAATATCTGCACAAATTAAAAAAAATCAAGAAATATTAAATTCGCACGTAAAATTTAAGCTAAAATTTCTGTAAAATCGAAATATTATATTAGTTCTGAACAATCAAATAGTTCTCAATCTATTTTAAAATGCCAAACAGTAGCATTGCATATAATCATATGGAAGACCAATTTCATTCACTGATTTGGTACAAGAAGCACTGATACCTTAGATATTTCATATGGTATTCTTACACCAGTGGTTTGTGCACCAATCTACAGATTTATATTTTCCCTGCCCAGAATGGAATTTTGGATACCTCCGCCCCAGACTGAACGAGCTCTAAGCTCCCGACGTCTAGCCACCTGCTATAGTGCATGTCGGTGTGTGTGTGTGTGTGTGTAAGTACGGGGCGAGGACAGGACAAAGAAGAGGAAGGAAAGATCGCCCCACGGTACAGGGCCTGTTTGTACCGCTTCGGCATTCGCCTGGTGTTCATCGGAGAAGGCACATAAAACTACCGATGAGAGCAGCCGGCCGCTAGAATTGTCCTCCAGACAGTGACAGATCTCGACCTAGCTATCTGGCTAGGGTCGAAAGTCCTTCCATCGTCGGGACTCGAAGCCTAGGACCTCCCAGTCAGAGGCACTGCGGTGACATACATTTCATGCAATCAAATGTCCAGAGCCACCTAAGCTGGAAAAATGCGTTAGAAATTATGCGTTGCTCAGACTCAAGGGTTTTTATGTGAATCGCGGAGGGCGAAAGCCAGAACCTCCCTGCTTGGACACGTGTGACGAAGCATCACTTTCCCTTTACAATGTGAGGATACACGCGCGGGATGCGTTCCTCACTCGTTGGCGCCGCCTGGTGTTGTGTTTGCCATGTTCTCGCGGAAGTGAACCATTTCCTTTATTCGGTTAGACACGAGAAGAGCCACAAAACGATTTCCAGGAATTGCTGGATTTACACGAGCATTAAAAATGTTCTATCTAATGTATATTTAGCTTATAATTTTGTTATTATTAGAATGTATAAATGACAAGATTCAGGGTAAGGATTATTTAATTAACATAAATTTCGATGGATATCATACTTGCATTGATACAGAGTATGTTGTAATATACTGTAGCTAGGGAAATTGATTACTCTTCGAAATCTCTTTGTTTTTTCTTGCGAACAAATGACGACTAGTCAAATGTTTATTTCTCTCAGTTTTTGGGAGAAAAGATAAGGATAAGATATACTGATGTCAAAATTTAAGTATTGGAGTTTTTTGAGTGTTATTGGAGTCTGAACGTTGTTTTCCAATACTCCTGCATTATGCATCAGAGAGGAGGATATGCACCTATCTTATTAACAGGAATTCCGCAGGCAAGAAACGTGAAAGAATTAAGAGACAAAATTCAAGAAGCATATGATAAGCTAATATGCGTAAGTTTTATTGCCAGCTGGTGTGAACCATGCCGCGAAATTTCATCCCGTTTTATAGAAATAATACGATCAAATGAAGGAGTTTCTTTCATTTTGATCGACGTAGATGACTGCGGAGGCTTACAGGGTATGTTCAACGTAACTATGGTGCCAACATTTATGCTAATTAGAGACGCTAACATTATAGAAGCTTTCGTAGGAAGTAAGTACTCACGTCTTGTGAGAAGAATTGATTTACATCAAGAAGAGGATAAAGACAGACGAGCAGAAATAGAAAGAGCTGCTGAACGTTTCATGGATGAGGTGTATTTGGTGTCGCTTACTATATTGACAGAACGATTTCCCGTCGCAATAAAGCAAATGGGTTTACATTGCCCCCGGAGAGTGGCAGTTTATAAGGCAGGGTCAAAGAAGTTTATTGAAGCTTACGGAGAGGCTGTTCGTACAGGAATGGAGATCGATGATGATTCTGGATCGTATGAAAGTGACACATCAAAAGAAAAGTTGCTCGAAAAACTCTGGTACCCACCTACAAGTAAAGAAGCAAGAGGTGAAGTAGACGTAGACCAACCGGGAACATCGAGGGGCCTGCGGAAAGCGCAAATAGGAGAAAGGCCACATTTAACCGAAAGCGAAAGACGTGAATTCCTAGAAAGTGAACAATCCGATTTGATACAAGAATCTCCACCATCGGGAAAACCCACTGGAATAAGGTGGTTAGACGTGGAAGACAGACCTTATTCCCCGGACGAAGTAAGAAAGCTCTTACAGGAGTGCCAACTTGCGTGTCATATCGACCGAAGGAAAATGGAACGCAAGGCGCGTCGCCGCTACAGAGAGCAATGGTCTCGTCGGCAAGAGCCTGACTCTTCGTCTTTTTCCAGCGAGGACAGAGACGAAGAGAATTACCAAGCGCATTACAGAGAACACGCGTCCGAGATGGAGCACGACCAAAGGCGCGCACCCTCCGAAGGAAGTGAGCCGTTTGAGTGGGAACGCGGATCATCTCAGTGGGAAAGTGAGACATCAATGAGCAGAACTTCGCGGAAATCCAGGAGGCATGAGCATAAGGTAAATGTTCCAATAGTGAGCCATTTATTAGCGGTTTAATAGACAATATCATTTTTCTCGCCCCACTTTCAGCAAGTTTGTGATCATGTGATTTGGTGATACAGAAATAGGGGAGCAGACAAGAATGGATACGGAAGGAAGGATTGCGTGCGGCTGGCCTACACCTCCGACATCCACGTGGAACTGGAGAAAAGAAACTGAAAAAAACGGTGATTCTTACGATTTTAATTTTCAAATATAAGGCCATTATTCGTTCCAACTATTAAGCTGGCCTACAAATTCAACCACTGACGGGATGTAAAATCTGAGATCTTGCAATATGCAAAGGGATATAAAACTAAAACCACTTGGCTGTCGTAGGCAATGATTTCCTGAGAGAAAAATCTTGCAACTTATGTGAACAAAATAAAGGTATTGATTTTCTTTATTTCAACGTTCTACATGGATTGAAAAAAACTACAATTTCAAGCCATTTGTGATGAGAAAATTGTTTGTCAACATTTTGTGATAAATAGAGGCATGTAAAGGAAATATGTAATTTGAAAACTTCCGTTAATACAAGTATTAATACTTTTAACGAACTATGTAAGTTATTAGCTGACTACCTCACGTTGCACAGGTATTTGTTACAACAATTTATTGGGAAGAAAAATAAAACCCCTCTATTTCCGACATGCGGCGAGGCCCATCCATTCTATAGTATCCCCGCCCTGGCCCGAACTGCCCCACACTGGTCAGCCCTGTTTGTGCACACCTCAGAGTCTACCTCAGTGACTTTCTTGCTGAACACAATGTTTTTCTTACCAGGGGTTCCTGACCCCAAACTTTACTCATTTTATTACAAAAATAATAAAAAAATCTATGTAAGCTAAAAAATAAAAAAAAACTTGTACTCACATATATTAATTTTGTGGTGTTTCATTATATAATAAACCAATACTTTCAATGAATTGTAAGGTTGTAAAACTTATTCGTTTTCATTTTTTTCTTCTCACGTATTCATAAATCAAGATTTGAAATTTATATTTAGCACCACGCCGAGACAATTGACGCTTCATTACACTTAAGTGCTTTTAATTGTTTTCGCGCTTTAGGGTAAAGAAAAATAGAAGTTGACGGAAAGCTGCAAACAACCTTTTAGACAATTATAATATCTCCAAAAATCGGAGATAACAGTGGATCTCAGTTAGCCAAAGTTTTTCTATTAACTAAAATGATATATTTGCGTCTAAGAAGGTTGGAACATAAGCCATGAAAGCTATTTTTTGTGAGAATGAGAGCATGAGCGGAAAAATAATATATACACATGAAAGAGAAAGGTATGAAGTGCACGGACACTGTAAGTGGCACCAAAATTGAGTTTCTCATATTTATTAAAGAATTTCAAATGTCAGTACTGGTTTCATGCTCCAAAACATTATAGAATACACGAGTTCATAACATAGTAGAAGCGTTACACACTCGTCCTAAAGGCACGATAAGGCAGATGCTCAGTTACCGCAGGTTCCACATCGGTCCGCAGACTTACAGGTCCTCACGTGGCTTGCTTATCTCTGGTTGCTACGCGTCCTCGTAGAAACTCTCTTGCTCATTTTGCGACTGCCCGGTTTGGAAAGAGATCATTTCCAAGAGTTTACATCAATTACCTGAGACATTCTCGGGCATTTATCCCATGGCGAAAGGCTATTTCGGTGAATGAGAGCTACTCAAAACTGGTTACATTTCGCACGACAACTGATTTCACATTCCTGTCTGTGCGAATACGTGAGACTGTGAGTGAAGGTAGGTCTTCACTCACATATCCATCTGTTGTTGTGAACACACATTAGCACAGCATTTCTTTCACAGCACAAATAAAATTGTGTGATTCTATAACATTTATTGTAGAAAAAAATAGTTGCCAAGACTTCTGCTCCAACCCTCTTATTTTCAAAATCAGCATCGACATTGTTTTAATTCTTCCAAAGACCGATTTACCATTACTATGTTCCCTCAATTGTACTTTCTTTTTCTAAACTCACTCCCATAATTTAAATAATCGTCCCCTTACCACCTAAAGGTAGGTCTTCACTCACAGTAACATACACACTTCCCTACAAAACCTTATCCAATCTATTATCATTTTTGGATCAATGCGTAAATCATACATAATGTGTTGCATTTTTGCTTGTAGAACCCGCAAATACATCATTATCATCCTTAGTTTACTATAGCTGAACCAAAATGGCAAAATTAAAGAAAGCTAACTTGATAAGAAAAAGGACAAAGCGAAGACAGTACCTGTGAGTGATGCAGCCAATGCAACCAAACGTAATCAAAAGCTTTGATATCTTTCAAATAAAAGCCACACCAGTCAATTCGCTATGCTCCAAACATTCCTCTCAATAAGAAATCAATGATTAGTTAGTAACATCATTGATAACTGTAAAATTATTGTAAAAATTCGTATTGGAGAAAAATAGACACTATCTAGCAGATACAATGATTATTTTACAAACATTATTCACATTAGAGTATTACGAATGTTTCGATGAATATTTACTCTTTGTCAGTATTCCCCAAGTAAAATGGAATTAGAAGCTAAGTTCCGCATCCACTATTGCCGAGGTCACAGAATGTCCATTCTTGATCTTTCTTCTCGTTCTTCTTCCTCTTCTCTCTTTTTTCTTTGTTCACCTTCACTTTATTCGTTTCCTTTCCTATTCTCCTTACTCCTCTCTTACTTTTCTGCACTTCCTTCTTCTACTTCTCGTCCTCTCCTCGGTGTCCCAGCTAATATTAATATCGCATGACAATTGCAGTGATGGCTGCAACACGAAAACATGCAACGCACAAACGTCAAGCGGATTGCCTAACGCAACAATTGACAGGCGCGAGCGATTCGCTGTGCTCAGTTAAGATTATAAACCTACTTTTACTTTCTCAAATACTGCATACGGAGTATAGAGACAATTATGTAATGCTGCAGCAAAACAGGCTTTCTTGAGTAGAAAAAAATAATATTATAAGTCCCTAATACCGAATATGTACGAAATTTCCATTTCTACATGTAGAAAATTACTTTCTCAAACATGTTATATTGTACGAATCCACATTTTGTATAGCAGTTGCACGTAGCAGCTGGAAGGAGAGTGCGACAAACGTGGAAAGCTAGACCAGAGTATTAAGATTAGGAGAATAACGTTTCTAAGAAGTCTGTTCTGTGGCATAACTGTGTAAGTGAACACTGCTGATGCCTGTAAAATAAATGAAACATTTTATTACATTATTATTGTAGTCAACATCTCTTTCCCTCAGAAAATACAAAATGTACGATGAAAAAGATATCACTGTCTAGGTTAAGTCTACCAACTTGAATGATAACATTAAGTTGAAACATAGTTTAATTGAATACTTAAGTTACAATAGTAGTACCGATAATTGTACAGACTTAGTTCGTTAAAGGAATGCGACGGCTTCCTGGTGAATGCCGGCTCTGAGGTGCAGAAGAATGCGATGCGTTCCAATTCAGCCCTGTGGAGCCCGACCCGAACGCTAAAAATTCACCAGAGGCCGGAAGCGCGATAATATGTTGCGCACAGCTTGGCTCTCTTCGCTGAGCTTACAGGCGCCCGCTCGCACATGCGAAAGACTCGCCGGGGTATATTTGAAAATATATTTATGTATGTATATTCTTTGGCGCAATAGATCTGACAAAGCCTGGCGAATCTGAGCTTTCCCATCATCACACAGCAACACATAATGGGACATTGCTAGGAGAACGCACACTCTAATCTTGCTCGACCGGGAATCGAACCTGGGGTTGCGTCATGGAAAGCGAACAAGCTAACGAATGAGCTACCTGTGAGGGCTATACTTGAAAATAAAAAAAGCAAAATAATTAACAGACCCGCACTATAGAACAAGTGATAAACTTTAAATATTTGGATGCAACGTCATCGGCCTTAAACAATGATACTCAAAAGAAAATAAAGAGATATAATTACATTAATGGTCTTCTCAAAAGAACATTCAAGTTCAAGAACAGTTAGAGAAGTTTCAGGAAGTTCCATTCTGCTGAATGCACGCTGAGAATTGTGTATTATCACAAGTAGATAAAAGAAGAAGAAATGAAAGAATAAATAGAAATAAATAGAAATAAAAAATAGAAATAAATAAATAGAAAGAAGTGAAATGAAATTACTGAGGTGACGGTGGGATATTAAAAAGTAGACTATAAGACAAACAATAGTGTAAGAGAAGAACTTAGTATACATGCCACTTATTAAAAAGTTACAACAACTTTTGAGGCATTCATTCTGTTCACATTCATGTGCCATTTTTTCTATAGAAAAAAATGACCTATGAATGTGAACAGAATGAGTCCCACAAGTTCGACAAGGATTTTATAACTATACGCAACAAGAAATAAGAGATGTTGTTGACCACAAGAGAGTTCAAAATATCAGTTAATGCTACGAGTAATATTGTATAAGTTTAATGAATAAGAAGAAAAGCAAAAGAAAATCAATCGCCCGGCCAGTCGTGGCTCAGAGCAAGGTCGCTGGCCCTTCACCCAAGAGATCCGGGTTCAATTCACGGACAAACCCATGAGAAATTTGTTACCGCAAAAAGAGTTTGCATACAGTTCGCGCAACCTAAACCCTACCACTATCCTATTTCCTTCCTAATTCTGACCGCTGGTTCGTGACGGATGCGCGAATGCGGATTTGTTATCTGGCGGTCCTCTTGACATCTGACTACCCTTACAGTCACCCCAATGTTAAAAAATCAATCATGAGTTCGCCAACGCCCTTGCTATTAATGCTCTTAAACACAAAAAGAGAACAAAATTCTGATTGCTGCAATATGTGTGATCCAATAAATCTGAAAAAGAGGTGCTTCAGACTACATTATTTGACCCTGTTAAATAAGCCAGACGGAAGCAACGATCGCGGGACTCACCTCCTTGACGGTGACGTCGGTCTCCATGATGATGCCCTCGTCCGACACGTCCTGCGCGTAGTAGTGGGAGAAGGGCGCGCCGGGCAGCGGCACGGGCTCCAGGGCGCCCGACTTGCCGTGCGCGCGCAGGAGGTACGCCGTCCAGCACACGTACCTGCGCAGCGCACACGGCGCCAGTACGCGCCCGCTCAGCTACAAGTAGGACACGGTTTAAAAAAATGAAATTATATAAATTTGTTGCGCCTTCGTGGATGCAAACCACACTACCACACTCGCGAGAGCACTTGAGGAGCTTTGTGATTGTCCCTGCTGGGGCGGTGCCTCGCTGATAGAAGTAGTTGGAGAATCCTAAAACGGACGTGACGGTCGGAGCCGGATCTGACTTTCCAATTGGAGAGGAAATATGGGCGCCATCTCCCGCAATAAAATATATACTACACTTAGTTTGTTAATGTCTTTAGTGGTTAACGCACCCCTACACTAAATAGTCAATCAATCATGTATACGTAAGCTTCCGCGGCTCACGATCGTGACTTCTTGGCTGTCCGGGTGATGGCGCTAAGAGGCCAACGACGAAGGTCGTCGGCCCCTCTGCCCGGACAGCCAAGACGTCAATCGATCAATCAATCAATCGAAAACGTTTCACTCGCGATGTTGAGGGTGGTAGTGTTGTGTGTGTGAGAGCCTGTCATACTGGACTCTCATCACCGGTAGGTGGCTCAGGGCATCCATTGATATCACTGCAGTGCCTAGGTTCGGGAGGCTCTGTTATCCGTTCACTACAACAAAAAATATTATGTAAACAAACTGAAAAAATCTTTGCGCCGCACTAAGGATCTGATGTGACAACATATAGCGCACTACTTTCGATTACGCGAGCTGCATACCCCGCCAATTCAAATTGAGTAAGCGTTGTGAAAATGCCATGCTCATGCAACTTCTTTATTTTACTTTACTTACGATAATTTTGCTTCAGGAAGCGTTTGTCAATAACCGGATGTCGTCAATTATTCGTAAAAAAAAGTTGGTCTAAAACTAGGAAGTTCTTGATCCTAATTCACTAGCTGCAAGAATTTCGGTAGCATTGGTGTTTCGTTTCTGCACTTTTGCCCTTTGAGTACAAGGAATGCTCTTGCGATCAAACTTGCACCGACTACAAAGTCATCATATGCTTCATACAGGTTTCTTCCCATTTCTCTTCATCTCTGGCGTTTGTAGTTGTCCCTTGTTAGTGAGCTATTTCTGGAGTTTCAATACCCTGGATACGGATTTTTCTGTTATATACTTTTTACTTTCTTGCCTTACGAATTCTCGTTAGAAGAGAAAGTTATGTAATTATGCCCCACAAAACGCCGAAATTTCGCCAGAAAAATCCTTATTACCGAGTTCTGTTATCGGAAAAGTAGATAAATCCTATTACTAAATTTATGGGGAAAATGCTCTAACTCGTGGTGTATCCAGAATTCATATTTTGTTGGTTCTTGATACCGAAAAATCGTTTGATGGCAAAACGTTCGTCTGTCCGTTTGCCTGTCTGTCCGTCTGTGGTCAATACTAGCGCCTAACCGTTCAGCTGATTTTCTTCAAAATTGATATTCCCTGATTGATCTGAACGGACTGGAGGCTTTGGGAGTTTCTAACAGATATTTTGTTTGTTGAAGGTGTTTTTATATGAATCGACCTTTTTATGCCTTTGCTCGAGTTCTATCTATGCATCGATTCTGTGGCGTAGTGGTATGAGTGCTGGCGAGTTATCTCCGAGAATATGAATGCGAGTCTCGGAGCGGAAGTATAGTTTTCTACTTGAAAACACTTCTGCTGGTTTATGTAGTAGTATAATATTGCGAAGAATTTTAAAAAATTGCAAGAAAGTATGTGCTTTGGCAGCACCACTAGTTTTCTTTTTCTTAAGACGCAAGTATTGAAGTGGCTTTAGACCAATGTTTGGGAGAATATTGGCGGAGGTGCTTAGAAAAAGAGATGATTCACTGTAAGACGAAGAATGGCCAATTTTCAAAATATTTTCAAAACAAAAACAGGGAGAATAAGTGACTTCAAGTTTCAACAATAAATAAACATAATTGCAAAATAAATTGGGCCTCGCTGTTATATAGTGCAGGCCTGTTCATTATTTTGCTTTTTTATATTCACGTACAACCCTCACGGTTGATCAGCATGCTCTAAAAACACCAGAACTTTGTTTTCTGACATGAGACGCGATCTAAACGATCTTTAACATAATATTTTTTTGATACCAGAAATCATCTTTAATTTACCGTATTTAAACTTTTATCTCTTTCACGAGTTAAGAATACTGTCATTACTCCTGATTTTCTGTAACAAGAGTTGGTGGTGCTGGACACTTTGTTTGTGATCAAACAGTTGGATAACTTTTCTGCTAATGTAAGCCGATTAAGAAAACATGTCCGAGAATTTCGAAGGATCAGAAAATATTTTCGAGCCAGATAATATTCTGGAGGATGCAGATGACATTAAACAATTGAAGTCGGTAAACAACTTTAAGTTAAAAGTAAAATATTTTCTGCTGCATAATTGTTTATAAACAATTAGTCTATACTGATCAACAAAAGGAAAAATAATGCTTATTTTAACAAAACAGTGATATATAATGAATTAGTTTACATTTGTATTATATAAATTTTTGAAAAAGACTTAATATGCTTGTATCAAATAATGTTCTTTAGCTGCCGGGTCAATGACCCCTATCTCGATCAAGTTTTTGTGCAGTTCCCCTGATCCATTGAGCAAAAGCGGAGATGGCCATTTGTTTTGCTTCTGGACGTAATTGTAGCTTCACTATGCGCACGTTTTGTTGAACTCTCCTTTTGCTTGTAGTGGTAGGAGTAGTGGTAAGGGCGAGTTACTATTTTGTTAGCAATGCAGAAAATCTGATACCTGCAATTCTTTTACCGAAAATCCGATGCCTGCGTTCGTTGCAAATACGTTTTATATAACTCGGGAAGGAAAACGTCTAGTTTTTTTCAAATACTGCTAATCTTGCGCTTTTTAAAATTATACTTTTATTTATTTCTTTATCCGCAACTTTTACTCATCTTTGAACTATTGATAGTTAAAATGATGGGAAGCAATTCTGGAACTTAAGAAAACGTGCACAGATGATCTTCTCCCCCGTACGTCACATGCAGTTTTTACTGTTTTTGACTAAATAACAATTAATCAAAATCTGAATCGGCAAGGAATCGCATCTTGAACCACTGTCCACCGGCCGCGCACCCTTCCCGTGCACCGTCTCGAGGAATCGATAAGGTATTAGGGGTTGACCTGGACCGCGTACGACTCTTGCCCCTCCCCCTCCCCCTCCTCCCTCCACCCTCGCCCTTCGCGATTTCAACTTCCGATTATTGCAGACCGCTTTCCGGGCCGCAAGTCAGAAGGAGGAGGAGGAGGCGGAGGAGGAGGAGAACGAGAGAAACATTTTCGATTCGCGGGCGGGAATTGAAAGGAAGTGTAAGCGGAGGTTCGCGAACAGTCTGTCGACCCGCGGGGCGCGAATTCGATGGAAATAGACGCACGTTGGAATTCCTTCCCCCCTTCGCCCTCCTTTCAGCCTCTTCGGAGAACGCGTTCCTCACAGATATTGTCTAAACCGGAAGTCAAAATTCCTGTCTTCTCGGTGGTGCTGCAGGCGCTGGATACAATGTATCTTAAAATGTTTAACAACAATGTTGCCCTCCGATTTTGGAACGCGCTCTCTTGTAGTCCAGTGCTTTGCTAGTGCTCCGGATCGTGAAGTGTCATTTACACTTGTTAGTTGACTATAAAGAGAAATGGATTAATATAAAGTAGTTGAATGTACATAAACGTTTTCGATTTATGGATGGTGTTGAAAAGGATTGAAAACGGTTGGTTCACTGACTATTATTCCAACAAGAGTTCGATGCAAATTAAAGCGTGCTCATTAATCGTTAAAGAATTATGCTCTTCGTCGCTTCTTCCGGCCTAGTCTTTGAAGAACGCCTGGGGCTGCTCTGTCACAGAATCTGCAGGATTTTTGAACACGAGGGATCTCGACATTAATTCCATATAACGATAACGTGTCTCTCAAAATTTGGAACGCTCCCTTTTCTGTACTCTAGTGCTTTGTTAGAGTGAAGAATAAATTGTGTTTTGTGATTTTTTAAAACAACTAGCTGAACTCGTGAAAAAATTCGAACCCTTTTGCATGTTTTGACGTCCAGCGACGTGTTACTTAAGTGGAGGGAAAATTCATGACGAATGATTTGATGAAAAGTTTCAATTCGTAAAGTATTTTCTCGAGCTGACATATTAAATGGAGGACGTAGGTTTTTGCGGTCAGCGCAGCAAACATTCAGCCGCCAGGTAGTTTATCAGTTTATAAGTCCTAACTTATTTCTCAAAAATACGTGTATTTATTTTTTGAAAATCCAAAAGTTTTAAAGAAGCTGACTGTCGTGAAAAAAGTAATTTAGAATATAGTTTAAGAGCTTCAGGTAATATAATTCCCCAAATGAAAATAACCGTATCAAACATGAGGTGCTGCGGCAGCAACTAGGTCGATCGGGGAGCACTCATATTCTGAAGAACCTCTGTGCGCTGTGGTTTATGCTAGGACTGCGCAGCATTTTGCATTTTAACTGACCTCCGGAGCCGCTCGCTCAGCTCTTGAGTGTAGAATGCCCGCGGAAACAGGCGTAGTGCAGGCCTGGTTCTTGCGCTACTGTTGATCTCTAATATACAGGTTGCATAGCTCGAAAACCTACAGAAAAGACGAATACGGCCCTACCCGGGAGACTAGGTGGTGAACATTTCCAGATTTGGAGAGTCATGTGATCACCGCTGAAGTGTTTTTTAATTTGTTGAATTATGTTGTATATTTATAGCGTAAACAATTGATATACTGAATGACCTTTGGAAATGAAAATTAGTAAAACTTTTTTATTGGGTTGTGGAGGAGACTGAAGTCCCAAGCGCCTCTCCCCCGAGTGCGCCATTGATGATGTAGGAATTGCCCAATAATTCTGCTTTTCAGCAGATATGGCGCATGGTCTTCAACGAGTGGGCACGATTCAGGCTTTGAAACTGTATGAATACAAATTTGTTAATAAGATAAAGTTTAGCAATTTCATATTGCATTTGATGTTGATAGACAAC